ACAAACAATAATTGCATCGCTTCTATTTAATTTACAATGCTCCATTTCTGCTGCTGAAGTCTAATTTCATTACAGCACTTTAACCTAGAGAACATGATGGTGTTTTTAATTTGGATAAGCTAGCTTTGCCTGAAAATTCCTTGTTGAATGAAGACAAAGATACAAAATATAAGCCAGCAAAATGACACCAGATGTTACACAGCAGTTTATATAACACGTTACTAAACTACTTTTTGAGGCTGAGGCTCGATAACCTGAATATCAACCTTTTGAACCTAAATTCCTGCCTCAGAGTAAAGCTGTGACACAAAGTGATCTTAGTGCAAGTTTTACTTAAATTCTATTCAAACAGAGGCTATAAATTAAACAGCACACCAGAAAACAACATAGGATGGATATTTTAAAACTTTTTGCCCCAGAAACGCTTTGAAGAACCATGTTTGGGATAAGAGGCCAACAACACATCCACGAAAAAACCCTGAAGTTCCGCAACTTTGTCATCGTTCCCAGAGGCACAAGGTGTGTGCACAGCTCCCGCATGGTCTCATTTGATGCAAAAGCCACTCCTTTCTTTCTTTTCTTATTCAAACTTCTGCAGAAATGCCCTTCACCTTGGTTTTCATGCAATAGGTACCAGTAACAGGAGAGAAACAGAAGAACTATATATACTGCTATACATGTGTGTGTGTATACATGTATACATAATTTCCACGTACTTTTCATCAAGGTTTGCTTTCCAGCAAGTAGAATCCTGTAATGCAGAAGGAAACAAAACAGCAGCAACTGTCACTAGGACGTGTATCACAGCCACATTCACAAGGCCTGCTCCCATCAAACAGGATAGTCAAATACATTTTCTTTGGACAATTACTGGCTGGAAACAAGTAAAAATTATTTCTAGTACCTGTGTTTGCTTTATTTATTTATTTATTTTAATTTCCTTCACATTGTAGCCCTTGTAACTTGATTCTCAAGTTTTGGTTTCTATTGATTAAACATGAGTGTATTTGAAGGAGAGAAAAAAAAAAACCCAAACAAAAAAACCAAACCCAAACAAGTTAAGAACCTTTTGAAATCTGGTTTGGGTCTCTAACAGAAATACTTATCCAGGTGGTAAATATTAATCTCCACAATTAAACATAAACTCTTTGGTGCACCTTTGACTCACATCTTTCTCCTGGTAGAACATCCCCTTTTCAGCATCTTTATTCCTTATTTTCAGTGGTGTGAATCCATTTAATTCTTTTAAGAGGGTAAAGTGACAGCTAGAAAGTTCAGAGAAAGAGCAACGCACACACACACATGAACTATTATTACCCACTCACTTCACCACCACTGACCTGTTGTTCTAGGACACAACCACAGGGTCATCTTCATAGTCGGAATAAAGATCCTTGTGCACTAGTAACTCAATCTATCTTTGGATAAGGACTTTAAGCAGTTGCATTATTTATAACAGTTTCACTTTCATTTACAGTAAGACTATCTGCACCTACTGGTGCTGCAAATATCTTAATAAATTACAGTCCCTTAGACAGGGGACCTTTAGGGCAGGTAAAAAAAAGAATATGCATGAATGGCTTCTGTTGCACATAGCTAATCCAGGTAGTGTTCTTTACCCAAAGACCAATTAACATATTACACAGAGGAGGAGAAACAGCAGCATCAAGAATTACATTGGCCTGGTTTTGAAAACACTTGGCTAGCAGATTCAGAGCAAATTCCAATCTCATTATCTTCAAAAACCCAATTAAGGAGCCATCCTATAAGGGCGAGGTTGATGCAGAGGAATGGCAGCTACTTAAGTCTGATTTATCTTTTGAACTCAAATACACATTTTTGTTTTCCTTGCCATCTAAACAAAGTGTCAAATAAAAAAAAAGCTTTACTGAAAAAGCCACCTGGGCATGCCTGGTAATAGCCCCAGCTAACCAAGTACGCTTTGACTTCTGCTTACTCAAAGAAGGAATTATTGATGTCCAGAAAGGAAAAATGAGGGAAGACAGAACACTCATTAGTACATCTGACACCAAAACCATCTTTTATCAACTCAGTGAAGTACCTGAGCCTGAAAACATGGTTAAAAGCAAGAACTTATTAGAATGTTCTGTTACAGGAAAATTTTAAAAATATAACACCCTAAAATTGGTATGAGAATTCCCCCTAGCTTCTTGCCCACCCAGAAGCAGCCATGCAGCACCTATTCAGCCCCCTAGCAGAACCGCACAATTCCAGCTGCACGCTTGGCACAGATGCTCGGCTCGGGAAGAACGAAGCTTTTGTACCTTTGTGATCACTGCCCAGTCTTCTGCTCAGAGAAACTCCATCTGCTGACAGCACAAAACCAATGCCATTAGGCTGGCTTGAGAAATCATCTGCAGCACTACTACCTGCTTTTACATTAAGCTTCTGATAAATCAGTGCTGTACAGGTCATGCCAGATCACTTTGCTATTATGCAAATAAGGCATTTCAAAACAGTCTGAAAGTGAAATCATCTATGCGAAAGGCTATGACTCCCAAATCTTCTACAGAAGCTTCACAATTGTCCTGTTCATCTTAAAATGCTGATGTCATCTCAAAGAACCCACACAATGCTTCCGTTTCATATCTACCAACAAAATAACCAAGAGGAAATACTTTTACCGGATGTTATGATTTTTTGTTTCTGGAAAACATTTGCCTACATAAAGTTGTATTTGCTTCCTGCAGTGCCACATACTAATAACATACTGCTCTATATTTCACACTCCAGTAACATCCCTTTACAGCACAGAAATGCAGTTATATTATGCTGACCCTGTTGAAGTGGCAATAGAGATGATACATCACACTCAACTCCCTCTATAGTGCATGGTGTTGCATATCGTACCTCTAGCTGGTTGTATCAATTAAAAAAAAAAAATCCATGTCAAAAAATCCAAACTGAGATTAAAGTATTATTCATATTAACAGAGAAACAGAGCAATGCTCAAGGCAATTTTCTCATTTTTCACTGAAGAAAGAAGCCATTAACATCCCCCAGGATGTGAAAAGTATCACCATAACAAGAACGGCCCCATTTCACCTGTGCTTTAGCATATTTTTTTTTTATTCCAGCTACAGCTCTTCAGAGTTGTTACATGTCCCTTTAGCTGAACAACCAATAGCAACTTGCATAGAGAACTTCAAAGTGCATCAAGAGCTCGAGTACATCATCTCCAGAAAATTTCAAGCCCTAGTTGGTTTGACTGACCACAGCCTCAGGTGCAGGCACTGAATTTTGCTGTCCCAACACACCAGTGAAAAACAGAGCACAACCTTCAGGATACTCCTCTATTAATTTTTTTCCTCCTTCCCCTCCCCCCCACCCCCTTTACAATTTACTTGACATTACCTTCTTCCTACAATCACTCAAGAGGAGTGTTTTATTACATGTTAAAAGACAAGATATGTATTGAAAGTAGCAATTTTATTTGAGTTAAAATTATTTACAAAAACCCAAAGACATACTTCATGAAACTGGTACAAACTATTTTTCCTGCCGTTGGCTTTTGCTCCAAAGATCACAGCTGAGAAATACTGTATAAAATAAAAATAGGATTGGATTCAGAAAAGTACTCTACTGTTCTAATTTCCAATTGAGAGTATTTACACAAATATTTACAATGGAAAAAAAGTTACTTTAAAACTTTAATTTGCAAGTTGGCCTCAAGTACCCTTTAATGCAGAGTTATTTGAGGGTCTAACACACAAAAATGCACTGCAGTTCACAGGGTGATTTCTCCCCCCACCCTCAAAAGAAAAAAAAAAATAAATCAGCATTTGTCAGTGCTTGACAATTAGTTACATTTTAAAAAAAACTGTTAAACACTGAGGTAAATCAATTCCCAAACAATTACCAGTGTAACAAAGAAAGGTAGTTGTCCCTGCTTTCCCCCATCCTCACATCTGTGTTTTATTTTCTCTTGCCATCTTTCTGCAGAAAACTATATAATCAATTTGAAATCCCATTATAAGTGAAAATCCCTAAAAATCAGAAAATTAGATGGGCAAAACATTCAATAATTTCCTCCTGATGCAGATCATTTACATACACCTTCTCTCTCTCTCTCTCTCAATCCTGAGGTTTTTTATAAACAAAGGGGAATACAACCTCAAAAACTTTTCTAGGTTACACTGATAACACTAAGTTTTAGAAGGTGATGAGAGAAAACGCAAAAAAGTATGACCAACATAAGATTTTTGCCGCTAATCAGTTACTTCCTTACAGAATTCCCAACAATCTGCATTATCAAAAATAGGAAGACATAGAAGGCAGCCACTGTATGTAAAAAATCTACAGCTGGCACTGATACAAAAGCACAAGTTCTTAACTTTATACATGGAGATAACACAAGATCTAAAAGCAGGTTAGATTTCCTGTTATTTCCCCCTCATTATACATAGAACTAATATTTTTATGGCTTCAAGTTTTACAAATTCAATGGAATAACATGATGTCACTACCTATACAGGTATTTAAAAATGTTGATGAAGCAGATCTCAGAACAGTCTGCAAATATTCCAGACCAGCTTAATAAAAATAATTACCAATTCTGTTGGTCTGAATAATGAGTGCAAGAAAAAAATTGTTAAAAAAAAAGTCATGTATTTTCTGGGATTCTTTGTTCCACTTAAGTCTTCAAACACAATGCTTTGCTGTGAACTAGACCTCAGACTGAACAAAATCTTAGCTATATCAGCAATTTAAGGCTTTGTGTTGTATGCATTTAAACTTTGTCATACTACAGAAGAATGAAATAGAAAGATTATGTCAGCTGGAAACATTAATCCCCATTGGTGTTTTAGCTTCTTTAAAATTCTTCCCCCTAAAACATCCAAATTCTTTGTATTGAGCATTATAAAAGACATCTTGAGTGCTTCCTTGAAACAAATTAAAACAGCATTTCAAAGTTTTTGCTTATTAGAAGTGTAAACTACCCTGGGATTGAGTATCTTTTTTTTTTTCTTCTCTCTTTTTTTAAACAGGGTACAACTTTTTATAGTTACTATTTCTTTTGTGGATAACATACCCTCAAATGGCTTTGTGTGTTTATGGGTTTGCACGCTTCTTGGAAATACAAAGTGTTATGGTCTATCAGTTTTACAGTACATGGGCCATGACAGTTTTAGAACTGAGAAATGGTTCAACCACCTAATTTCAATCAAAACAGTATAAAAAAATAAACTATCCAATCCTCACCTCTTTGGATTCCAACAAATTTTAAATATAGACAGTAGTTAAAATCACAAAAGTATTTAAAAATTTATATTTTATGATTTTGGAACAATCTAGTAATAAAAAAGCAAGAGCAAATTAAACTCAAATAGGAGCGGTGCTGCTGTCCAGAACTTCTTTATTAGAACATTTGTTTGATACCTCAGTAGCTAAGCTGCCTTTGCACCTGGCTGGCATGAACAGTGGCTCAACAGTAAACAGCAGTTGCACTATCAGCAGCAAGTTTTTCCCCTTGAAACTTGTCACGAACAAAGCAAGAAAAAAAAAAAGATAGGGAGGGTAAACCCTGCCAAAAATATTTATTTACTGCACTACACCATAAACAGCATGGTTTCTTTATTTATTTTCCTCAGAACCTTTTTCCCCCTCATTTTTGATAGTTGCAGATTGATGTAGTAACTGTCTTTTAGAAAATGCTGAATGCATGGTTAAGAGACCAGGTAGCCTTAAAAATCTGAACACGAATGACACAGATGAATGCTCTTGGTATATCCTTCAAGGACTTCTTTCATGACTTCCTCTTTTGTCTAAGGGTAGCTCCAGCATTAGAGTGCCTGCAGCGGAAGTTAAGTATCTAGCAGTGTTCCAAGTATTCAATCACCCTAGAGATAGATTTCTGGCCCGTTGTTCCAACAGCACACTGGAAAATGTAATAGAAAACAGAAGTAACAAATGAGCGTTTGTAATACCTCTTTGAATTATTTGAGAGCTATGCTCATTTCAGAATTTTAGTATTTAGAATTAAGTATCAGTAAAAGCAATTAGTTCAAGCAGAGGATTCAAAAATATTTTCCTGACCAGTCACAATCAAATGGAATGAAAGTAGTTTCATTCTCTTTACTACCAACATAATGACAGACAAATGGGTCATGAGTACTTAAAACCAGAAAATCATCCTGTGCTCTTCTAAATATATACCTGAAAAGTGTTAACTGCTTGTAAAAATGTATGGACTATTAACAGAAAACACAATTACAAAAATATCTACATACATAAATTTAAAATATATACATATTACTTACAGTAAGATTCATAAAACTGAGAAATTTTTTGAGCATTTCAGTCATTATTGAGAAGTCTCCTTCAGGTAAGTACTCCCTCACAGTAGTCACGTTGATCTAAGAAAGAAAACCATCTATTTTAATTTGGGAAATATTTTTCCGATGCAGAACTATGTTACTCTGCATGTGAGATGCAATAAGACGAGTCTATTCATAGCATTATTAAGATGCCTTTTGCTATCAGCTGTGTGATTTAGTCTCTCTTAAGCAATACTCATGTGTTTAGGGTGTTTATGTTTCTAGGTAACAATAATTGCTATTTCCCCCCCCACCCTGTTAAGTAAAGATCATTACCACCATCAGACCTCTCCAGGACCTACAGGATTATCAAGAATTAACAACTTCACCAGATTACTCTCCTGATGTGGAGAGAATCTCCCTTTATAGTTGTTCAGAATTGATAACTATTGAACTTATCGTCAGTATCACTCCAAACACTAAAACTGTATGGAACCTTACCAGTCAAAAGGTACAGAACAGCATGTTAAAGACCATTTCTGCCATCATGGTACATTTAGAGAAGCCTGAAGGCAGGCCTCAACCTCACTGTCATTTGAGCATATATTTGACAGGAGAGTTTATGAAGTTCTCAGCTGTTAAAGAGTTCTGTATTTTCCATTTTAACTTCAGCATTCTATTATGTATTTCCAATCTGAGGAAATCATCTTCAACTAATATGGACATATAAAATTTCATGTCATTTCAATGGAGGGGAAAAAAAGGCAGACGGATAAAAGAGACTAAAGTCTGACGTTAACTTGCTTATTGAAACTACAGAAAAATAAATCAAGCTTTTACAATTATAGACCAGGTGAGCCAATTTTCCTCTGCCTTTTTAAAGTAAGTTCAATTGTGGGCTAAGACTAAGAGCAAAGGGGAGAGAGGCGGAAGAGGTTAAACGTTCAATTCCAGCTGTTTTTGATAAACATTCTGACGTTCAGAAAATGTTTTGGATGGAATACCTCTGGCAACTTTCCAGAGAACTATATACATCAGTGTGCCTTCATCAATGTATTAGCTCACATTGAATCCTAATTTAATAAACCTGTTTCAATACTGTAAATTATTACTTCACTAAAAATTGTACGGGACTTCAGAACAAGTTATTGACTTATTCCCTTACTGGACTCTCTTGGCAGAGACAGCCTAGAAGCAATGCTGTGTATGAGGCCACAATGCAGTCTTCCATGTGCTTCCCAGCATGCTGAAGAGCTGTAAAGAGAGATAACAGAGTATTGTATTCTCTAAGCAGTTGGTATCTTTTACTGCTTCAAATACAGTCTTTCATTATTGCTCTTCAGAATTCTTGCTTCTCAAACAAAATGAGCTTTTGGACTGGGACTTCAGAGGCAAGAATCAGACGAACTCTGTACTTACTAACTCAGCAGCACATTCTTGAACAGAAAAACATGGTATAGTATTTTATTAATCACCACTTTAATGTGCAAACTGCATGCTTAACCCACCAAAATACAAACATAAACGTTTCACATGATACTGTAAGCCGGTATGACTTCCACCAAAGGAAGTTTATTGTATTAAGGATAACAGATATAGCACTTTTTGCTAATGATTCAGCATTTTGGGACACGTGACAAATAGCTGCAGACACCAGCTGATGGAGCTACAAGAAGGAGGAAGGATATAAAGCAAGGCTGGAGAAAGTAATATACCGCACCTACTATCAGGAGATCAAAACACTATTAGAAGTAATACACTGCACTTACTACTAGAAGATTAAACGAGAAAGACGATGTTTCTGACTTGATTAATTTTCAGGAGACAAACTACTTAGCTTAGAGATACTCAAATTCCTGGAACAAACTACCAAAGATGCAGCACATCTCAGCATTACACAAGGAGCCTGAGATAGCACCAATGGAATGAGAAGAACTTAGAAACAAATAAGATGGGGACAGAAGAAGCATATGTGCAAATAGGGAGGGGAAGAAAAAACTCCGAAATTAGCATGAATTAAGAATGGGTCATGATACCCTGGAAAACAAAATTAGGGCAGGTAACTTTCAAGGACTGCTGCAGTAGAACAAGATAATAGCCTAAAAGCCATTTCTCCCAGAATATTTCTTACACAGAATGTCCCTAATAAGGTTTGTGTTTGTCTTGGGGTTTTTGTTTGTTTGTTTTCCCAAAAGGAACTGACAGAAGGTACTGTTAAGAAAATAAGAAGCGTAACTTCTTCCACTTCTCATGCTTCAGCTCTGAACTGCTCCTACTTATGATCTGTAACAGTTTCACCTGGGGGATACACTGAGGAAAACCCGGCCCAAGAGACTGCATGGAGATGGAAGCAGAGGCCAAGGTGGGGATTTGTGCAATCACAGAGCTCTTCGCCTTTTCTGAGCTCATCACAACCAGACAACATACCTTTATTAAGGTCAAGTTCTTCATCATCTTCTTCCTTCTTATCTTTCTCTTCAGTACTATCTGACTTTTCTGTGGAGACCCACTGTATCTCCCCACTTGTTTCTTGCCATTCCCCGCTCTTATCATGCTGAGCAGTAGGAGCTTCTTTAATCAGTTCGTCTGTCTGGCTCTCAGCCAGCTGTGCCGCTCGCTCACGCTCAAGAAATAGCTAATGGAGAAAATTTCAGAAGAATTTATATTATAAATTAAACCCCAAACACACTGAATTAATACTGGAAAGTTTATTTCCCCTCCACAGTTCACCCCTTAATACAGTTAGTCTTCACTACTTTTCTTAACAATAGCCTTTTCTTCTTCAAAGAAAAATATAATGCACCTCAACACCAATGCTGTGGTCTACAGAAAAGGCCTCCCTCCCTTCCCAGTGCTGAACCAGTTGGCGGGCTCATCTTGGGCATCATAAATATTTAATCATTTTCTTTGAGACACAGCTTGAAGACTAGATGTTGCCATATTTTCCTGTCTGTTTTTGTTCTCTACCAATCCTCATTTTCTTTTCATGCTAGCTATCCCCTCTTTGCTCTCTTAGCTTTTCCCCTTGTATGTAAAAAGAAAAAAATTGAAAGAGTAATTTAAAATGACTTATCAAGGATGTGGCTGAACCAGCAATCTCATATTGTGCCTTTTTATCTTGCAAATTATTTCCCAAACCATACAACCATCAGTTTTAAATATTACTTTGCAGAGCTGTATATTAAGATATTTAATATTTTTATTGTTGATTTTTTTTTTGGTCCACTGATGGATAGTTATTTCACATAGTTAAAACAGAAGAACTGCTAAAAGTGTCTGTAGAATTATCTCAGTTGAAATAATCCTTTCAGTTCTTTTATTTTAGTTTGCACAGTGGAATTCATTCACCAAAATTATCAGTGAATTTCTTTTTTTAACAAGTTAGTCAAGACAACATTTAAGAATGCTGTTTCACATCTGTGAAAATTAACCCTATCCTAGCAAAAACGAGGACAACATCCATATTCATTACATCCATATTTTACTGCTCTTACAAAGCATGATTTATTTTCTTTAAGTTACAAACTCCTGTGAAGATAGTATTTTTTTTTTTTTTTAAATCTATGTAAGCAAAGTGGGTAAGACAAGAGGAGCTTACAATTTTTACAGCTGGTTTAAAACAAAACTAGAAGCAAACTGCTTAGGAACAAGAAAACTAGAAATAAACCATAGAGGAAGAAGATAGCTTTATGGAGCATGAGAGCAGCCTTTGGATGTCTGCAATAGTGATATAACTGCCTTTTATCAGGAAAGCTCTTTCTGTAATGTACAGTATGGAAAAAGTCAAAGTTGTGAGTAGCACCCTTCTTCCCCCACTACGCTGTATTACTCAAAATACTAAACAGAAAAATTGTCAAATCTTCATTGCAGAGTTCTCCCTTCCCCCTTGACAGTCTCATAATGAGAAATGGTAACTATTACAGGAAAAACACATTTCTTACCTGCACTAAAGCCTGAACAGCATCAATCTGTCCAGTTATCTTTAGGCTATCATCTCCTTCTCCCGTACAGAATGAGTCAAAAGAACATGACGTTTCCATATTGACAAGACAGTGCCTATTCCGAGCACTATATTCTACTAGATTGATCAACAGACCCAATCCCTGCAAGAATTGGAGAGTCAAAGACGATTACACACATTTAAAAAAAAAAAAAAAAAAAGGATAATTTAGCAAAAAACCCCTATCCAGATAAATGTCATCTGTAGGCCTTATCCTTCTGAGGATACGTAACTTACTAACACACCTTTATGAAACAGTTCAATAGAGGGATCAGGATTTAAAGAAATATGAGGTAAAACTGAGATCTCTGGACACTAGAACTTGTATGCAGGAATCTCCATTTTTCCAATTCTGAACAGAAAAACACTTTTAAAGATGAGATTTCATTCCTCAATTAGGGGCTCAGGTGTCTAACCTTCAGCTTATATTCTTAAAAGACTCTTCACATACACAGTTGCACTGTTACAACTTAGACCACACAGACCCATTTTACATAAGCTGTCATAAATCTGACAAAGCCTTTATCTCAGACAACAACATCCACCATATTTCTAAAGTTGAAAAGACATTTGAAAACTACAAAATTCAGAGATTTATTTAGCTAAATCTCTTTCTCTATCTAGCAGTGCACTTTTTCCCACTAAACACAGGGAAAATGGTTAGAGCTCAAAACCACCAAATCCTTACCTAAACCTAAAACACCTCACTCAGTATGTGCATATATATGGTCAATGAAAACTGTAGAGGCTGCTCCTTAATTTCGAACCAGTTAAATGCACAAGAAGGGGGCAAATCACTTTATGTTAATGTAACAAATACAGCAGCTTACCAGCACCCGAATATCAAATCTCTGTTCTTGAGGTAGGAACTTTGGAACCTGAAGCACACAATTCATGGCTGTGCCTATCAGACCATCTTGTTCACCTGTTTTTGTACTACCCCATTCTGTAAACAGAGAGAGTTCAGAGGCTCAATTTTTAAAATACTCAATTTCACATCATAAGTAGATTGATAAAAACCTTTTGGCTTTAAAGATAAACAGGGCTCTCTTAGCCAAAGCACACATCTTAATATTTGCAATTACTCATCCAATTTGCAAAGACAAATTACTGATTACTGTAAAGCAAGCATCTACCATACATAACTCTTCAATTGCATTGTACATGGAAAAACCATAATCAGTATAAGAAAAGGGTTGACATTAATGTATTATTTGATGCTTTAACAAAGAATACACAGGGTTTTTGTTTATTTTACCGTTATCATTTGTTAGGTTGAGCAAGACACCTATGATGGCCCTCATACAGTCTTCCACTGCTTTACCCACATGGTTAGTTACATTCTGGTGAGGCAGAGGCTTATTGTCTGGTAAACAGATACTGTCTTCAGCACGATTATATCGCTGAATTAACTCTTCACAATGCTGCAGTGCTCTGCAGGGAGAAGTTGCAGAACAAAATTACCCCAACAACACACAGAACATTCCACCCTGACACTCATTTCACCAGAAACAAAAAAACCCCCAATACACAGCTTATGCAGAATCTTTTTGATGCCCACATACCCAGTTTGTAGTGAGAGATAATAAACTTACCACCTATAAAATCTTTTATGACCTCAGCTGAAATTGTGAAAACAAAAACCAGGAAAGCTTTGTGGCTTAGAGCTTTATCAGCTTGAGATTTCAAGAGCAAAAGTTAATTTTTCTTTCCAATTTAATCACAAGGTTTTACAAAAGATATCTCTCCCTACAAACCCAGCCTCTCATATCCTCTGACCATCAAGGCATAACATTATTCTGACAGTGTTATCTGAATGTTCTCTTGTTCTGTTCTAAGAGCTATTTCCATTCTGTAAGAAATAAATGACATGTGACTTCCTAGCAGCAAAATCTTAATCTCATAACACTGGACCGCAGGCATGATTCCACTGCATGACATTAGTTTGATGTTAAACCAACAACACTGATTTCAATTACAACCAAAACTAAAAATATCAAAAATATATATTGGTCTAAATAGCATAGTAAACTGTGGGAGTGCTGTGCGCTTTTTTATTTTATTTTTCTTTTTTAAATTTAAAGAAGTACTCAAAATATCTAACCTACAATCATGAAATTATGTCTCCAATGAGGTCTGCAGAGTAAAATTTTCAGCTTAATTTGTTCTCTTATGAAAAGCAGTACAAGAGGGATGCAATCTCTGCCAGTCAACTGAGACCTCGCCCAGATTAATAAATGGGTTCGAGGTGTTCGTACGAGCATCTTTGCCAGGGAGAACAGCTAAGAAAAGAATTTCACTATTCTAATTCTTAGTTACACCGTCAGTTCTGTTACGCTCCATTTCAGTAAGCACTTAAGCATAATGAAAACACAATAAATAAGTGTAGGTTCCCAACTGCACTCTTCTGCGTTAATATTAACTCAGTACAGAAGGAGCTGAACTCCTTGTAGCTCTTACACAACCAACAATAGCAGCACTACAGTACTCAGGTAGTTACCCACACCCTCATCTAAATTAACTTTAGAATTACTTAATGAAAAGCAACAGTGGAAAGTATTGGGTTTTTTCCTCCCTAGAATCTTGTGGTACAACAAATTTAATTTTTGCCCTATCAGGCACGGTGTTTTGCAAAAACGTCTTTCGTCACAACTTACTTAGCTGAGGAGACTATGAGTTGCGAGTCTTTGTAGGCTATCAGATAGCTCTGATTTTCTGGATTATGCACAGTTACCTAAAAAGGGGAGGAGAAAGTAATATTAAAAATGAGACTTTTTTTGCCTTGAAAGAGTAGCATTCCTTTCCACTACCACCCCACTTCATTCAGTTTCACATTTCTTGGTTATCATCCTGTGTAAACTTCCACTTACCATTATCCAATATGTCCTTGGAGCTTTCACCTTGTAATTAACCACACAGAACTCTGGCACTGAAGATAAAACCATCTTCATTGATACAGTAAGTATGGAAACCATGTGGCAGAATGTTCTGCCACAGCAGAACTCTGAATATTTATCTTGGGACTACAGTGTTCCAAGTGTGTGTGTATATATATATATATAAAACACAGAACACAATTATATATATAAAGTTATTTTTAGGACTTGACATCAACTCCACTTCTAAGCTTATTATGCCATCCAACAATAAAAATGAAATTTTTCCTCAATTCCTTTGATTGAAATTCAGAAGCAGTGAAAGCTCTTTTAAATTTGCATGATTTGGTCTGTTGATTTTTGTCATCTCTCCCAAGTTCCTAAGGACCTTGCTACATCACAAGCCACCCTTAAGTTCAGATTTGAATATTTTACCACTAAACAAAACTCTTCTACTGTTGCTTGTCAGTTCCATCTCCCAAATATAAAAGCAGAAATTGGATCTGAAAATTTTTCTCTCACTGTTCAGAAGGCAGGTGAAGAGCTAGGTGCTATTAATTTTTAATTAGACACCCTTGAATTAGTACTTCAGCAATTGTTCATCTTTCTCAGTTTTTAGCTTACTTTTATACTCTGAGTCTGTCCTTCTATTTCAATGACTTTCAGGGCAATTTTCTCTTTCAGCACTTAGCCAGCTGATGTTTGAAAGTAGCAATTCTTAAAATATACATCAGTGTATTGCTTCTAAGAAAATTCTGCTTTTATAATGATCCATTATTACTAGACACACACCAGAAAGGTCAAACTCATGCCTCAAAAACAATTCCTAAACAGCAGGAACTTAAGAAAAAGCATGCTACATTCTGTTATTCTTACCAAAAAGAAACTCGCAATGTTTGTACATACATACAGAATGGTAAAAGACCTTTTCAAACAAACATTCCAGGAACATTGATAAACATCAGAAAGTTAGTATCTTCTGTAAGAAGTAATCAACATTATAGCATTACTACGTAACTATATACTGAAAGAATGTAACATCAAAAAGGTCTGGCTGAGAAAAAGTAGTTTTCAGAAGTTCATACTCACACTTTCTAAGACCCGTAAACACCTTTCTGCACCCCATAACGAAGCAACCAATTTCTCTTCATTTTCATCACTGCTTAGGTGATCCACACATTCTTTAACTAAACAACAACAAAAAAATTGTTTTCCACTATCAGTAAGAGGTCTTCAAAAGACAAGTGTACAAACTAACTAGCTACTCAGAGTTGCTATCAACCCTGTTTTACACTTTACAAAACTGTAAAACTAGGAAACACAAAGACATGATCAGCACTACAAATTTTTTTATTTCCCCAAGTAAATTAAAAAAATCCCCACCCTTACAGTTTTGGTTTTACAAGTTTGTGATTGTTGCCACAAATTACCTATATCTCTATCTTTTATTTTCTATTGCCAATGAAGAGATTGTACAGCATGTGACGATGTTCCTGAACTGCAATGCACTGTTTTGTCAAAGAGAAAGGAGATGCAGCATGCACACTCTCCCAACACTCTGCCAGTCTGCAACCACGTGCAAGCTGAACGCTTTTCTCTCTTCAACCCTTCCTTTGTCCACCCCTCCGCTTACTTAAGACTAAGCTTTATTCAGCTCAAGAATCCATTTAGAAATGACCCTTTTCCTATCTGTGAAATGCTGATCCAAAAAACCTAAATCTTAAAAAAAATAAGGAAACAAAACTCCCCACCATTTCTTCTTGAAGGGCTGACTTCCTCTGGGATATTTAGTTAAAAAACATCAGGCCTGAAAATAATTCCAAGACTGTAAAGAAGATTCTATTCCAGAATAAGCATGCTGTATTTGTGTGACCAGAGATAAGTAACACAGTAATCTGTATTCTAAGCTTGAGCCATTTTGAATCCCACATATTATACGCAACATTATATACATTAACCTTAAAACTAGTTTCAATCCCACATACAACAGATTAAAGTCACTAATATTTCCTAGTGACTTGATATCAAATTGTGTACTTCATTTTTAACATTGCTGGGAAACCACAGAAAATGAACATTAAGAAAAGCAAACATCTTAGTAAGATTCACTAATTTTTCACACTGTCAAAGCAGCGTCTCCAATATACCTTTATCTACAATATGATCAAGACCACCTAGAAGTCGCAGTTCTTCTTTAAACCAGTCCCCAGCTCGTTTTGAGGTGAGAGACAGTAATGTCTCCATTGCCAAATGCCCGGTCTGAAAGAGTCAGGTTCCAGAATTAGTGAAATCATCACATGCAGCTATAGCCAATAAATCAAATCATACAAAGACACATAATATAAAAATCATAAAAACAAAGTTATAAGTTCTGGGTAGAAGAACCACCAGAGGGAGCAAGAACGGATTGAAAAATATGCGTTGTTTTTTTTTTTTGTTTTGTTTTGTTTTAAAAAAAAGACTTGGTACTGATAAAAAGGTACTTTGCATTTTCAGCTTCTTGATTTTATTAATAGCTTAGAAAACCTAAGCAGCCTCCTTTTGTCTGTTTCTGTTGTTATCAAAAGAAACAAGCGTAGGAAGGAAACGGACAAACCAGTCAGGCAGAAAAAAAACCAAAAGCCACAGTGAACACTGCTGCTCTGTCTCCCACATACACTGGCTCTGCTGCTTGTAGAATACATTTGATTTTAATGGAGACATTTTTGTAGTTTTAATTTTAAACTCATACAAGATAGCGATTAAACTAAAACACTGTAGAAAATCTTGATATTTACTGTTTTCTCTGTTTGTTTGTTGTTTTTTTGTTTTTTTAGAAAAAGAGGAAAACATATCAAAATTTAACATCAGCAAAGATAAGTTTACTCCCTGCAAATGGAAGTTGAAGAGATTTTTGGTATATTAGTTAATCCCCTGCAATGTCTTTAACAAAACTAGCACCATTTATAAAGTCAAGATGATAACCTGTTTTTCCAAAAGGCCTTTTATTAAGGCAAATGTTAATAATAAAACATATACGTACATATAAATTTATACCTACACAAAAGTGACCAGTACAGACTTCTGTAACATCTGAAAAACGCACAGGCAAATCTGGAATACTATAAGCTTAATAATGTCATATATGGTACATAAATACAACAATGAACAGTTAGAGAAAAAGACTTAAGATCTCATTAAAGCCAATTGAATTTAACTACTTTCAAGTTATCTTCCCTCCCTGACACATTTGGTTTGCAATGCTTCAAGGGGGACTGTGCTTATTCTGAGCTGTGCAGCATGTTTCAGGACACCAGTTCAGACTTCAGGAAATAACAGTACTTACCAGGCTTGAGAACACACCCCAACTGTCTTGGAAAACCGAGTAATAAATTGTATGAGCCTCCCCCCCACCCCCCAGCTTCAACTGCTTTCCTTGTTTTCAAAATACTGATTTCCAAGGAGAAAAAGAAAGTTGAAGATTAGTCTTGATATAGAAGAGTTTACCACCCCAAGTTAGTTATCTCCTTTTTTCAGGAGCAAGCTCTGCAGCTCACTGTCACTGACGAGCATCGAGTTAGTAACAGCATTTCTCCAGTGTCAATGGAGGAGGTGTCCTTAGATCATGACAGCGTTGTGGGGAACAAGAGAAGGCAAGCAGGCCAAATCTACAACAGGTCATTCCTCCAGGAGTCAGCAGCATCTCAATTCCCCATCACAGAGGAAACAGACAAAGCTGCAATGAGTCCCGCAACTGTTTTGTCACCCAGGAAATTGCTAACTACCTGTAATTGCCAACAGCCACTCATCCGGCCTTCCCACAGCAGGGAAACTACACACACTTGGTTACAGAGGGTTCTCATCTCATCACTGGGAGATACAAGATCCAAAACCCCACACTTTAAAAAACTGTAAGTTAAAAACATAATGCTAAAGTAGATGAGAATATTTTAAACAACGGAGAACTCCACTTCTGAAGCCAAAAACAAAAAAGAGCTTTGAGGGAGGAGGGGAGAGAATCTGAAGACAGCAGTCTGCTAGCTCTCTGAAGCTTTCCCATCCTCTTCAGATGATTCCTTTCACTTCTATAGATTGAGCTTGAACATATTGTAACATGGATATCTGAAATCATGTTTAACCTAAACCAGATTGATAGAAGCTGATTAAAAACTCTCGAGATCTTAAGGGCTACAAAAGACCTGGTTAGCTTCCCAAATACCTTCACCATGAAAGCTCAAAGGCCACACAATATTTAAAATATGGTGCTTAGTTTTCTGCCAAAGGATTTGGCAGTAGGATTTAAAAGAACTCCAGGATAATATAATTTGATATTTATACTACTTAAGAACACAACTTTAAATTTATTTATTTATTTTGCTGAAATGAATCAAATCTTGCAACCCTTTTGCTTTTGAGGAAAGTAATCCATTTTATGCCATTTCAATGTCAATTATTATGAAATTTTAACACCACAGGTTCAACACATGGTTCCCTTAAGTTTTCAGCCTTATGCTGAGTGACAAGCAGAACAACCTTTCACCAACTGAAAAGAGAAGTCCCTCTGAAGGTTTTCATTACGATGCAAGAGAGAGGAGCTAGCCGCAAGCAGCAGCTACAGACCACTACGCCTGACTGACAGGCAAGTGCTATTTGCTAATATGAAGGCTAAAGTTCTTCAGGTCTGATCTTCTTCTAAGCCAGGAAAAAAACCTGGAACAAATTCAATCCACAAAGAACTCCTTTTCAACTTCGGGGTTTACATTTTCAATGTTCACAGCAGCCTAGAAAATAGAACCCTTTGAATAGCTGTTTTTGAGTACTCAAAATTCAGTCCAATCTAACTTCTAGATAGTCACAGAAACAACACTATCTGTGGAAACAGATAGGCGGTATTGATCATCTATCTTTGATCTGTGTAAGATTCCATAAAGTGAAGGTGTAACCATTAGGCACAAACTGGAGTTAGCAAAACATCTGCTGCAGTCCTTCTGTTTCTCAGTGGGTATGTATGAGCCTGAAAAAGCACAGATCTTTTCTTTACCCTCAGATGATTTGCATTTTTGTTAGCATTTTCTGTCTGTCATCTGGTACAAACCAGAGATTACTTATTATATCTCATGACAGATCTATATGAAAGTAACTTTATCTTCTACATATGAAGTTCATTATAGTCTCAACTTACCATTGCTACTATCATAAATTGGAAGAGAACCTAATCATCTCATTTGGCTTGCATATATTCTCCAAACACTATAGTTTCTGCTTCTAGATGGTGCAGCTGGGAGGGAACCAGTTTCCATCTGTGAGGTACTACAGTATTCAACACATTTGCAACAACATCTCAATATAATTTTAAGAAATAGAGTTGCCTCAGGGAAAAAAAAAAAAACCCACAACAAATAAAAGAACGAACCAAAAACCCCAGCTGAGACTGATGGCCTGTGATAATATTACTCTTTATTCATGGATGGCTTCCTCACAAGACAGAGTCCCTTTTAATATATCCTCTCCCTTTAAAATCCATGCCTAAGAAAACACAACAGAATTACAGTTCATAAAAAAATCAAGCTAGCTCAGATTATGAATATGAGAAAAGCTCAAATAGGAGACAGTGGTCTGGGTGGCTGGATGCTTCAGCAATGAGGAACCTGTACCAGCTGTTCCACGCTTAATAAAGGGAGCTGTCTTACATTTTGCAGTGCATAAGATACCCTGGCACTGACACACTGTGAGTTACGTGAGCTGCCTTCAGTGCCAAAACAGCTCTCAAATAAGACACTGATTATACCAATTCCCAGCTGATCACCACCTCGAGAACAAATTTCATTCTGTCTTAGGATCTTTGGATTGTACCATGTGAATCCGTAGAGTAAACTGAAAGCAGAGAAGATAATCTCAAAATTGTTCTGCCTTTGCAGATTTCAAAGGCCAGAAAACTAATACAAGCCCCCTGCTTGCATGTTTCATAGGTCTGTAGGAAACAAGCCTAAAACTGAAACTCAAACAATTCTCCTTTGTCACCACAAACTGATTACCAAGGTTAAGAATTATGTCATCAATATTATTTTCCTTCCCCAAAATTCAGCTCTTTCTACTGCTACATAATCCTGATTTTTCATACCAATTCAGCTAGCTGTACCATAGTTAGAATTTTGTGTGGGAAAAAACAAAACAACAACAACAACAAAACAACCCACACCAAACCCTTCCTAAACTGACAAAAAAGTCACTAACACTACAAAAGAAAATGCCAACTCAACAAGGGACATAACCTTTTAATCTAACCTAAAATGGAATAAAATCTTAACAGCAGACTACTGTCAGGAGTCGAAACACTACCTGCAGAGATAAAGCTCTAAAAAGCTCACTTTATAAACAATAAATCAGAAGCTCCTCCTGTCATGGATAAGTATTACATGAAAAATGGCAAAAGCCTAACAAGAATCTTTAAAACATTAAAAGAATGTATTACATGATGTTAAAAAATTAAGATCATACCAACATCTGTTATAATGAAATATGGTGAAAGCAAAACCACATTACTAATTTTTGCAATCTATGGCCACTCATCTCAATCTGTCATCAATTCTTTAAATACACTCATTTTAAAAGACTCGCAACTTACCCTTTATTTTTCAAGCTAGCATCAAACCACGGCCAAATTTATTTTTAAACACAAACAGTTCACTCTGTTGCAGCTGAAGACACATTCATAAAAAACAAGTATGTTTAAGAAAGGAAGAAAAAAATTTCATCCACCTTTACGGTAATCAACAGATCTGCCACCATACTTTGGGCAGAGAGAAATCAGTGTCTGCAGGACAGATTTATTTATTTATTTATTTTAAATGGCAGAACGTGCACCACATTTTCAATTTAACACACAATATCCCTATTCCCATGTAAGAACCCTTATTATTTGTGATTCTATGATATAAAATTTAGGTAAAGAAACACAGTCAAATAATCTAAACACGGTCTTTAAACACACAGTTATTTAAAGCATTACTTGTTTTTAATTACTACCTTTAAGTAGCTACCCTTAGCAGGAGTAAATGGTGAATCAAACTGCTGAAGAACATCATAACTTTATCCTACCAACAGCCTTTTAGAAAAGAAATTTCAAATTCAAAGAAGGAAATACTTGCAGTGTAGTCATACATACACAGAAGGTAGACAAAATGTCACGACTCCTTAGCTGGGAGAGATAAGATTAAGGATGACACTTACAAGTTCCATTTTATTAAGCATTCCACTACTGCCAAGGTCTTCAAATAAAATCATGATACCCACCGTGATGTTTTCGAGATCAAGATGTTTGTTGTGAACAGTTTCACAGAGTCTCCGAATTTTTTCCTTAATTTTATTCATGTCTTTTTCATTCAGCAGCTTGGCAGAAGAAGCATCTTGTTCCAATTCCAAAAGCCGAATCATCAGATCTAGACTAGCTCTGTCTAAATCCATGTTCAAACGATCTCTGCTTAGGATGTACATTAGAGCTGCTGTACAAAGGGACAAATTCTTGGGTTGGGAGAGGAAAGGAAAAAAAAAGTTAGTTTTTAGTAATCACGTTAGGCAGATCTTTTACAGTTTTTAATAAACCCGCTGAAGATTTACAAAAGAAAAAGCCTGACAAGTCCAAATCTATGCTGGCACTTGCATGAGTACTTACTGTTGTACACAGATTCCTTCTAGCACATTACTAATGCAGTCTCCTAACCAATACAACTGAGATTTTGATAAATCACTTAATACATTTACAAAACCCTACTAGAAAGGTAGGGTTTTCTACTTTTAAAGGACCCTGTGCTGCAGACAGAGTAAGAAATACTAACTCCAGTAATACAGTATTACAGAAGAGACAGATGGCAAGCAAACAGACTGAAAAAGCGCAAGGTACATGGCAAGGCAGGTGAACATTTTGGTTTGATTAAATAAGCTGGTGACAGTGCCAGAAAAGACAAGAGATCATGGGGACAGTGTTTGCGTGTGATGGGAAGAAAAAAGAAAAAAATAACAACCCCACGGCTGGTGGCATACATTCCAATTCTGCCAAGCAGGTCTGTCAGTCAATAATTTACCCAAACCTTTCCAGCATAAACACAATAATTTCCAGCGGAATTCTGATTTTTCAAAGTAGCCAGAGTACAAACCAGCTTCCCCCTTGACCTGTCAGTGCTTAACACATAAGTGTTATTATCCTGACCATCTCTATTTTACACAAGAATGGGTGTATAGGGACCTCTTACTGGCTAAAGAGCACTTAATCCTTCTTCAAGAAGGCATTACATTTCATCTTCAGGAGGATCCAGAAAAGGAAGGCAGAGGGTGACTGTCAGGAAGGGAAAAATGACAGTGAAGAGATGAGAGCAAAGTTATCTGGCCCTAGTGCTGGTAAGTACAGCACTTTTACCAAGAGTTCCATCTATCCAGGTGAGTTCCAACCAAAGAGGAGAAATGTTAATGGAAAATTGAGTTATGCTGGGCACAATACTTTCAGAAACCTCTGACGATATCTGAAGGAAAAAAAGAGCTGGGGGAGTTGTGGGATGTATGTGTGTGTCTTACTGAGTTCAGCTCTCAAGAATCAACATGCTGCATGAACTTATTCCAATTTTTTTCTGTATGAAGTAAATTAAAAATGGAGACAAGCTATTTCTGGGATGTGAATGTTGTACAGTTTACCAGGAAAGAGCAGAATTTCTGTATCATAGCAGATTAACATCTTGTTTAGAGCTCAGCCAACCACCAAAGCAATCATGAGCTGCTTTTGTTTATTTTAGAAGCAAGTAATAATCATACCTGGTCATACTAAGTAGTATCAGCATTTCCAAAACAGGATTAGGCAGCTGACAGTCTATCAAAAGCTATGTTAAAACTCCTTCCTGTCCAAGTCAAGTAAACCCTCAGGTGAATAAAGACTTTAATCTGACTAACTACCAAAGATGCATTTGGAATACTGAAGGAAGGAAGCAAGAGTTTCCAAATTTACATCTCCTTTCATGAACACAACCTCGAGACACATGGTTGATTGAGGGCAGGGCGGGGCAGGGGGGAAGGTAAAAGAATCTTAGCTGTGAATATCAATACTCCGGCCTTGTCAGATACAAGGTAGAAAGCAATCTATGCGGCTTGTCTACACAGACAGGGTACACACCGTTTTCCCCTAATTTCTATTAACTTTCTCCAATAAACTTTACGATTTTATCATTTTAATTACAGAAATTCTTTACTCTGGATTTACTTGCAACTGGTTTAAACTGTAAGAAATTTCTGGTTCCTGGAAGAAGACCGTTCCTTCAGAATGGCAGTTATTAGAACAGGACACAGGAGCACACGCATTCCAGAGAAATCAAAAGTTACTCCGTTAACCGTTGTTCAGCCAGTATGGAACCTGATAAAGCAACACCTATGAAGAACTAGTTTCTAGTGAACAGCACCAGCTAGGTGAGCTTCCTGGTAAAAAGAATGCTTAAGACCCCACAGGAGTGTCTGTCAACTAGAAACTAGGCAGCAACTAATAGAGGGAAATTGCTGAATTTATAATCTGGGCTGCCAATATTTAGGCATTTCAAAAAGTAAGAGACGGTTCTGGGATCACTACTCAGAAATTTTTTACAGAGACTCCAAAGCCTGTTAAGAGCAATCACACTTATTTTGTAAGCCTCTGTACCAAGCCCTTGCCTGTCCCAGGCTCCATTCCTTGCAATCCAACTGACTTCCTATTATGCAGAGAGTAACAGTTCCCCCTCCACATAAACTCTGTCAACACTTCCCTTCAGACCTTCCACCCAGGTTTTAGATACTTAAACGTGATCTAGAAGGAACCCAAGCAGGGGACTAAGACATTACACAGAAGGTGTCAGGCTGCAGGAGGACTGCCAGAGAAGCAAAAAGGACTGCAGCAGGTATGTGTTAAAAGAACTACGTTCCTGCAACAGCTTATATACAGAAGGCAATCAGGCCAACAAGCCTCCAAATGCTGATGTGCAACAGGAAAACAGCGATGTCGCAAAAGTAGGGATCTCAAATGTGAGTGCTGCTCACGTGAGACAAACCTGCTTCAGCTACATGCCAGTAATATGGATTTTCTAAAATTCATTTTTCTTAGTCCCTATAGGCAAATTGATTTCATCTTGATTATAACAACTCTACATTTTGCTCTAATCTTCTGCAAGTGTTAAAACCAGTTAACCACATTGTCTGAAAGCCATCTCATGCCCTACCATACACAGAATTCTGAGTTGAGAATGAGGGGAAAATTGTCAGTATAACTGATTTTTTATATCCTAAAAAACCCAAACAAAACGACCAAAGAACCCAAAATCTCACCCTTATGGATTGCAGTATTGAAACTGTTTTTTTGGGTGGGCTTCCCCCCCATTCTATTCCTCAAGATGCTTAAAACAGGTTCTGCTTCCAAACAAATGTAGAGAGGGGGAAAAAAATGTAAAATAAATAGAATTTTCTCTAGATAGAAATTTTATGGCACAGCTAACTATGAAGTTGCACTCCATACTTCAAGAGAATTCAGGAAAACATCCTAGTTGAACATACACTTAAGAAACAGCAGACCACTTACACCCACTCTCATCCTTGTCTTCTCTTGCTTGTTCTATTTATACTCCAGCTTGTGGGAACAGATGGTTTTTTCATAGGGTTCAGCACTACATTTAATGCACTTTTTTTTTTTTAAATTATTCACATGCTGAAGACTTCACAAAACCACATTTCTGTGCTTAACTACTGACAGCAATAATGAAAATTTAGTTTTTATTTAAAAAATGAGTAATACTCCAAAACCTTTAGAGCATAGCTGAAGAAAGTCAGTTAAAAACTGAAACTGTAGCTTGAAGACAAATCTACACAAAAAAAATTCTGCAGAACAAGTAATTTTCATGTAAATATTTTGGAGCATAGCTTATTAAAATAACTGGTTATTTTGTTTCCTTGCTGGTTTAAAAAAAATACTTCTGCAACGGCATTATACTCTTATGGAAACGTGAAAGTCCTCTACTTTCTCAGTCTATTCCATTGTATCAGTCCAATGAATGCAGTACACACTCATATTTGTTTCCATTAGCTATGTCATTGCAGCAGTTTTCTCATCTCCAAAATACTTAAAAGAAAATATAAAATAATTGTATTTCTCACCCCCCCAGTCCTTATTAATCTTAAATGGATTTGAGCCATGCAAGCAAAGCCTAGTGTGATTTATTACTCTTGAGTTACTTTGCACTTGGATTTAGTGGAGAAATTTCTATTCATTTTGAACAAGTTAAAAATTTAGTAAAATAATTAGTGAATGAAAGGGTAGTATATAAAGACATCAAGCTCTGTCACTGCTGAAGCATATACTGTCAGTAGTTAAGAGTATATATTTTAGCATTCATTAATAGTAGTTTGATAAATCAGTAATTTTTTGGGACTGTATAACCTGTACCAGGAATGCACTGTAACTGTATTAGAACATTAACTACCTTTTCTCTTTCTGATAGAAGGGAGCGTTTCATCAAGTATACTGAAAGTAGTGAATATAATCAATGCTTTTTGTTACTGCAGCCTAATAATAGCATGCAATTTCCTTTTGAACTGTATGTGCTAGTTCTTTTGAAAATGAAGGAATAATGGTAACTGTTAAGAGACAGCCAAAAATACACCAAGCAAGCTTGTACGCTTTCCAAGGAACTGTAGCTGTCCTGCAGATCTCCTGCAACTCAGTGGTGGCAACTGTCCTAAATACCGTGACTATACTTTATTTCTAGTATCACTTGGCACTATTTTGACAGCTCACAAAATGACAAATGCATTGAACCTGGTTCATATGTTTTACAGTTAGCCATTGCTAATTTTCGAGGGAGATGGAAAATAAGCTATTATACTAAATTAGTTACTTAAACTCTACAGCTTTCCCCCCACCCACAGTAAAATGTCAAAAACAATCTCTTAAATGTCTGTTTCTCTGGGTGAAAAGTTTCCTTCTGCATTTTATGTCCTTGTTCTAGAGCTATTAAATAAAGGTAATAAACCTGACTGGATATACATATCTACTACCCACTTCAAGTAACATTTCTTATGTGCAGCTTTTGTAACAATACCTCAAGGGATAAACCACCCAGGCACAGTTTCCAACCACTGGAAAAACAGTATGACCTCCAAGAAGAGTTTTCTATTACAGCTGAATTGAACTTGTAAATTGGCAAGAAGGAAAACCCAAACTGCTTCAATTTGTAACTCCTGGGTCATGTTACTGTAAGACATTAAAATTTACCTTTCCTAGTTTTATCATAGAATACTGCACGTACCAAAGCGTCCTCCAACTGCAATTATAACACTGCTCAAGGAGACAAGCACAGGACATGAAAAATGCCCCACAACAGCTACAGAAAAGGCTTATATTTTATTATATTATATTATATATTTTTAAAATAATTTCCAAGCCCAGAAGCACATAAACAGTGGAAGAAGCATTTGTCATTGCAATGCAGGTGCTTATTTTTCATTTCACCACACATCTCTCAACTGGAGGCACTGATCCTAGATGCACACTATACTGGATGTCTGGCCTTGAATTATGTGTACACAAAATTCATACAAAGTAGACAGGTATCATAAAACTTGAATGGAATACAAAATACACCATGTATCCATACCTGATGGTGCTGGGAATCATCCAGTGTTTTGAAAACCATGGCTACCATCCCATGTGCTCTCAGATGCATTCGGAAGCTGGGCATGGCGCACTTTGTCGCCAAGCTGATTACACTAGAGAAAATTAATTCTGGATTAGAACAACCGAAAAGAACACATTTACAAAAATGGCAGATAAACAAGTCTACAAAATGCCTGACCATAAACCTCAGACCCTAACAAACTCTGTCAGGATGTTTCTTCTAAAATTTGTATAAGTCAACTTTGTAACTGGTGAACAGAGCAGCACTGTACTCAACAGTTGCTTGCCAGCAGTAAACTATGTCTGATTTATTTTAAAGTTGGCTAAAACCAGGATTTGAAAGGGTATCCTGAACTTGCTTCTTTCAAACAAAAGTCTAAATAATTTCAAATAGTTAAATTGAAAGTAAAATGTCCATGGATTAAGCACAAAGCTCTGATTTAGAGGCACAGAACAGCTTATCATGGATCAAGGCATTATCAGAAATTATAAATGTGAGCTTCCATCATTATCTAACAGTTATCTAATTGACTGATTTGTCCCGCATATGCCTGACAATACTTTCACAAAAACCCAAACATTTTTAAGATTTATTGCTGCATTTATGGTTGATGGAAACACTATATGCAGACCAACATATAGACTATTAAAAATATATTGCTTTTAAATGTGGAGTATGTGGGAGCGATTCTGCAATCAAGTCTTCAGTGACTACTGAGGAATCTTATTATGGAAGATTCATATGGTGTTTAAAGTACAAGTGGTCTTTCTGTCTCCAATCACAACGGCACCAGTTAGAGCTTACCTACCAGTTTCTGATTCTTTTACGTCTATTCCTATCCTTACACATTGATTTCCTTTGGAAAAATACTTTTCTTTTAATTTGTTAACTGAAAGAAAAAATTTTTATGGTGTTTATACACGTTACATTCCATGATATAAATTTGGAAAGTAAAAAAAGTCAGTTTAAGATCTTAGGAAGCTTGTCATATGAGCAAATTAAGTGTGCTTCATATGAAAAACATTCCTAAGCTGTCACCATGGTATTAACTTATTCTTATCATCATGTACATACAAACTGGATAATAGATTCCTGGTGTTTACACTCCAGCAACAATATCCATTGCTAGTTTTTGAGGAACATGAAGAATAATTTTTAAAAATAGCGTTCTTAAAAGCATATAAAGCCTTTTCTCATCCACAGTCAAATCACAGGTAAAGTGTCCTCATCAGCTCTGCGGATTCAAGTTTTTCCTTCTCTAGCATTTTAGTTTCGCTAAGCAGAGAGGGAAATTTACAAGTATTAAAAAAAAAAATAAAAAAAAAATACATGGCCAGAGAACATCATTCCAATTACTTTTATGTCCAGGGAATGGAAATCAATATTAAATTATAAGCTTTTTCATTCAGAGACTAACATTTTTGATACTAACACCACAATAATGTGTAACTTTAATATTAGAGTGCAGTGAATTGTTTAGGACAACTTAGGGAAGCTTCCAATTAATATTGAGGCCACAATACTTCCAGTGGATGCTACTTACGTTGTTTCTCAACAGATGATAAAGAACAGGAGGTTAGAGTTAAACAGTAACTCAGTATTACATTAGTTCTACATTACAGTCAGTAAACTTCCCAGTCTTAGGGATTTTATTTTAGAATTGAATTTTGCATTAAAAACCAGAGAGATTGCAAATAAGATTGCAAACCAGAGAGATTGCAAATAAGATTGCACTAATCAAAGTTATCAGAAAGTATTTTTTTATTTTATAGCAAGGAAAAAAGTGTGTTGAAGATGTCCCTTAATGTACAATTTTCTATTTCATCATCCTACTCATACTACTTCTAACTATCCACAATATATCATCTTGACGATTATTTTCAAATTTTATTCTTTCTAGCAGAAGTGCCAGGTAACTACCCAAACATCATTTTAATGCATGGTCACTTCATTGATAAATACTTATTTAATTCAATATTGCTTTTAAATGTAAGTTCAGTGTTTTATATTAAGATATCTTACCTAAGGCAACGTGTGTTTAGGGGCTGATTGCTCTTCAATCCACTTAGCAAGTACTCAATATCATCTGTGAACTCTTGATTTTCACCAAATTCCACTACATCATTGAAGTGCTTTACATGCTGAACAACAGTGTATAACTGGAAGAGACAAATATTTTGATCTAGGTAAGTTGCTCTTGGAATTGATTATAACCTTAACAAGTACAGTTTAAAATCTATTCAGTTTTGAGTGCAAGGAAACATTAAGAAGTCAATGAAGGCCATTCAACTATTTAGATATAAATATTATCTTTAATAGGAAAGCCAAATTTCATTTTGACACTGTTCCTTCAGTACTTAGGATTACCAATAATTCTTTATCTTAAAAATTCGTTAAGAATACTTACTTCTTTGTCTTCTTTCCTACATTTCAATGCAGTTACTATCTCTTGATAGGGCTGAGTAGGTATTGTCACAGTTTTTATCACTTTGGGAGGTGGTGCAGGAGCCTTAAAAACTCCATCATCTTTATGAATTGCCTCCTTTGAAGATAGCCTTACCTATTAATAAGAAAGTGCTAAAATGGGCAGATGTTTTGAGCATGTAAACATACACTAAATACATCAGGAAACAGTACAGGTGTGCAATTGTCAAACTCACATTTTGGGACTATTTAGCCCTTGCCTTACACTAACAAGATGCACCTAAGCTATGTGATAATGTACCTACTCTTAAAAAAAAAAAAAAATGTCAGAAATTATATCCATTTTTAAATCCAAAACACAGTTCTAACTAGACAGGAAAGCTCCACTGGAATTCTGAAACTAAAAATATAATAATAATTAAAAAAAGAAAAAGTCCTTTACACTGGTTCCTTACACTTTAGGGTAAGTAAACCAACCAAGTTCAGTGTTTAAAAATAATTATTTGTGGATACCTACAAGTATCTTACGTCCTTGCACTGGAGCTTCCAGATGTGACTGAGTTGGTTGCTATACTGAATCATCTTTAAGTACAGTGGTCTGGATACGAGCACAGCATTGAGCAATCACCGTCTCGAAACAGCTTGATCTGAAAAATACTCTGCCTACTGTTCTCATCTCTTAACTACTTGAGGCTACCACAGTACTGTACACAGGGTGTAGCTATCAGAAAACCAACCTCTCCAACCTGATACTCCAAACTGTATTTTGTCTGTAGGTAGAAGACTACCAATATAAATTTTGTAGCACCATAAAACATTGCCACATAGAGAAATAAGAGAGGCATGGTGCATGCCTTGAACAGGTGGAGTATGCCCTTGCAAATTCATGGTATTCTCCACACACTGACCTTACTCGTATTTGTCTTGTTAATATTTTAGGAACAACATATTACAGCACATAATACAGCAAAACCTATTCTGAACTTACAACAGGTAGTAAAGAACTTGATGTTAGGTATTTCTATACCTATTTTAATAAACTAAAATAACTATTGACAAGTTTGTAGCTGTCTCAGGCAAGTATTACAGGTTTCTCCTTCAACTACTCTTCTGTATTAGTTTGAGGCTACCCAGCTTAAGTGTCAGCTTGTCTTCAGATTACTTCTTCAGCACGAATTCAGATATGAAGACAAACTACAGAAAACAAGGCATGAAGGAAAGACCTCCAAATTCCAAATTAAATGTGCCAGTGCCAATGCCAGTGGTCATTTACTCACCCTCACTCTCTAAGTGAGATATTTAGTTTCCTTACATAGAAAAATGCTAATTTTTTTAAGTGTGACTGAAAAAAATAGTATTAATACACAGGCATAGAGGATGCACTAACTGGTACTCGAGGGAATATTTTGAGAAAAAGCCTTCTTGTGCATTGTACACTGACAGTCAAAATTAAAATATAAGACAAAACAACCTGCTTTATTAATGGAGTATTCTTAACATGCTGCTTCTATGACTCTGCAGCACTTCAGTTTTTGCTTACTTAGGCTTCAGCGGCAAAATGCTAATAAGCCAGCCTGAAAAGCTGGTTTAGAACTCATACTGGAAGACTCTGATCTTATCTGTCTGTGAACACAGGAGGTCCACTGAAGTATCTCATCCCATTCTCGGTTAATGGCTTCCCCTTCAAAGCAAATTCCAAGGGAGCTTGGAGAGGCCATAAGAAAAGAGTACTTGACATAAGCAGTTTGTATGCTATGGTTTTCTCACCATAAATCTAAGACAAATTTATCCAGAAATTAAAGAGGCAAGATCATCTGTGCAGGGATTACCACTGCACGTTTAGATCAAGGATCACTTATCTTGTAACTCTTAATCATACACACATAAATCAAAGTTTAAAAAAGTGTAACTTCAGATGTACATCATAACATGAGGAGCAGATACAAACAAATTCCCCTAACTGGTTTGTTCAGCCACACCTCTGCCATATTCCTGAATTAATATTTCAGTGGTTCCGGTTACAAAGTGGAAGTTTGACAGAAAACAAAATGGCTTGTCTCAATATGAATGAGCCAGACATTTTCCTAGCCTGAAGAGGGTATATTCAAAGCCTGTCTGAGAAGACTCAGACAAAATCTGCTTTTAAGTTGGCTTAATCAGTACCAATACAAAGGTTCAGAAAGCAATAAAAGCTTCAGTTCAAATGCATGTAACTTAAATCGATAAAAGTGTTTAGCAGAAACACAATTTCTGTTCTCTCCTCAAACACTAGTGATAATGGTTATTTTATAATGAGTCATCTGCATTTTCCAGGCAGTCTAGTTAACACTAAAGGAAAGCTATTCAGAATACTGTGAGGATGCAACCAAAATCAACCATAAATCAAAGAGGAGCAGTATCAGAACCACACAAACACAGGTGGAATTAACAAAAAGAAAAAAAAAAACAACCCTGAAACTGGTGACAACAAAAGCTGAAGACTTATCACTGCAAAAATATCTACTTTCTGATTTTCTGTTCTCAGCCAAGTACTGTAAGCCAGGCACCAAATGAAGTTTACTGACAACATACAATGCTCTCTTAGCATAATCAGTAACTTCCGCACATACATAAACCCAACACCCTGGATTCTCAGGGTCCCAAAAGAGTTAAACAATTACTTTAAGCCTCAGAACAATCACTGATTTTTGAACCAGCAAGTTACTTTAAGAATTGTTTTCACCTCTTGCCTACTTTGTGTAGACATACATATCTGATATGTTCACGTTAACATCTTCATAGCTTCATATCTTTCTTTCATAGCGTCTAAGACTCAAGTCAGCAATTCACAACACTTTACACCATTAGAAAGGAAAAATAAATTAAATATATTTTTTTAAGTTTCTCCTCTTTGACCTGCAACTTGTTGATTTCTGTGGGTATTAGTAAATTAATCCTAAGGGTTCTCATAGAAAACAATGTGGAGTCTATTGTTAGAAAGTTTAATTTCAATAGATTAGGGAACATAACTTGATTGAAGCATTGAACATAACTTGAAGTATCTTTTTTAATCCATATATTGAAATTATATGGAAGATCCTGTTCTAGAGTATTTCCACTGACAGTTTCTTTGCTATCAAATTCCCAATAGGTCACATCACAAAGTGGATTTCATTCTGAGTTACTGTGACATTACCAGATATCAATAACTTGTGTTTCAGAAAAATCAGTGAAAGGAGATTTACTAAACTGGAAAAAAAACAGTGTACTTACTGGGACACTGGGAGTTTTCAAAACTGGTGGTGCTGGCAGAGCCTCTGATTCTGGCTGGTTCCAGTGTCTAGCATTATATACAGCTTTTGTTGGAGACTAAAAGACAAAAATGAAAGTTATTTTTTATGCAAACACACCAGTGGTCACTGTATGCTTCAATTACTGTAGCAACAGTATAGCCAAACAAATAAAATGAGCTTCCTTTTTCCTCCTTCTGTCTTCCCAGCAATACAAGTTCTCAGTACTGTATATATCAGAAAATCTGAAAGACTTGGAAGCACCTGATGGTTTTAAAGACAGAGACTCATTCAAATGGCAAAAGACATGATGTGTTATGTATTTCAGGAATTTTTCATTTTTTCTACTCTTTAAATTTATTCAAATACAAAAGGTTTGCAACCTTTCTATAGACAAAAACAAGACAGCTATGGGGAAAAAACATGTTAGCAAACACCATGTCAGTAGAAAATACGAATAGTTTAGAATATTTATATAGACTCTGATGCTTGAAGGAGTAGAAGATACTTAAATGAAATGCTTTAATCCATATCAATAAAATAGGAAGTCTTTTTTTCTTTCCTGGTCAGGAGCAGGGGGAGCAGAGTCCTGCCAGCGTTCATGCTCATCTTACAGGGAGCAGAGTCCTGCTGGCGTGCATGCTCATCTTACTCAGCAAGGCAGCAGTTGGACGGGCTCCTGCTGACCACGAAACAGGAATGTCTGCAGCCTGGGCTTTTCAAAATTTAGCACCTCTGTTGCATACACACACATACAGCAAGGAAGCAGAGATGACAAGGGATCAAGTTCAGTGCTATGACATGGAATAACAACAAAACATACAAACAGCTGCGCCAGCATAATCAAAAGGTCCACACAGCACTAGTGTGTTTTCTTCAGCAGAGAGCAACAGCTGATGTGTAGGAAAGAGCCCAACAGGGCAAACCGATAAAGACAATTCCTTCTAAATACTCATGGCTCAGAGGCTTCCTGAGTCAGAGATGGCATCCTTCTTACTTAACAGTCAAAAAATGGTCTTTTCTTCCCTGATTTTCCTTAATCCCTTACTTAAATCAAAAGCTAGGGCACCCCAAAATGTTTTGTGACATTTGTGACAAGGTACTTCACAGCTTGCTGAGGCACTACCAAAGCAATATAGAAGAAAGCCACATCTTATGTAAGAAATCAAGTCATGCCACCAATAAATGCCTGTTCTGAGAAATGAGGACATCTTCATTTAATAGCTCTCTTGTAACAGAACCTAAACTGTAACTGAAAATGATAATCATTCAAAACCTCAAATACCTATGGAAGGTTTTAGTGACTATCCCTTGTAATATCTTCCACTTTTAGATTAATTTTGCATGCAATTCCATGCCTTCTCAGTAATATTTCATTAGACAGTAGACACTGCTCCCCAGCATCCCTACCATCTGGTCCAGTATCCTGTCTGCACACAGCTCAACCAGTAAACATGCCTGCAAAAATCCAATACTGCTTTCCAAAGAAATATGTTCTCATCAGTTCTAACACATTATCACAGAATCACAGAATGTCAGGGAT